GGAGGAGATGTCTCTGACTCTTTCACCTGTTCTTGAGACTCTTTTCCTTCCAAAGGGTTGCCTCACCAGCCTTGATGTGAGGGCTTGTGCCTGGTCTTATTGAATCTTGTTGTGTGGTGTTCAGTTTATGTCTCTGGAGGTATAACCTGCAGGAGATGAGAGGTACAGGGAACTAAGAGGAGTAGAGGGAAGGGAAGCTGCAGTCAGTACACAGTATATGAGAGAATAAATAAATAAAAATCAACAAAAGAAAAAGGAAAAAAATTTGTTCAAAGGACATTCTGTGTCCCTCTTGCTTTCAAATGAATAAAGAATATCATAAAGGCTACTATTCCTTCTGTGTTTTCCTTCTTGTTTTATGACAATCAAAGATTTGTTTAACTGTTTGTTTTTAAAACTATTTGACTCACTGGCAATGCTCAGTGGGTAAACTGTCTCTGTCCGAGATCAACAACAGAGAAGAGCTGCTGGTGCTGCTCCTGCTGAACAATAAAGGCCCTCCAGCTGGTGTCTGCAAGCAATACTTGAAAAAGGAGATACCAGTACCTCCTTGGAAAGCTCAACTCAATGTCCCATTTTGACAGAATCAGGCAAATAAAACCCATCTTTTCAATGTTTGAGGTTCTGTTTGTATATATTTATAGCTAGAAACAGCTATTCACGGTTTCTATAATTACAAATCTAGACTCCAATAAGCAATTTTAATAAATGGGAATATTCCTTAATGTTGAAATCTATTAAATGTTGACGCTACTTCATTTTTTGAAAATGGAACTCTCAGCTCTCTATAAGCTAGAAAGTAAAAATAACCACAAGGAAGTGTGTCCATGCACGAAGATTTTGGTTAGTCTGGGAGATAGGTGCCTACGTACGCTGATTTTGTTGTTTTTCAAACAGCTATAAGGAATGATTATAAGAGCTCAGAAATTTAAAGAGAAAGAGCTTAGAAGTTTAAAGAGGGAAAAATGTATCTAAAATCTCCCTTTGCTTTCTAGATGAAGATGATTACATCAAGTGTGACAACCACAGGAAGCTAGCAGATTAAGTTCAAGGACTGAAAGCATGAGAGGACTTAAAGATGCTGAGAAACAGTCAGCCAAGATAGCCATGTCTGCGGATAGATCTCCTTAGTGTGCGTGGGTGTGGTTGCGGGGATACACATCCTCTGGGAAGACAATGCCCTGCCAGCACAGAGTTTACCAGTTTCAGTCTGCCACAGCCCAAACCATCCTCCCACTTGCTTTCATGTGCTTTTTTTCCATGCAAAAATATGCAAGGGCTTCGTTTGCAGCACTTACGGTTTGCACCAGCCCCAAACCGAGTGGCTCTGGAAATGACTCAGCCAATCTGCAATTCAGGATTAAGTTCCTGGCTGGTTCTTATCTGTTCATACACCAATGGTTACAACAAATTGTGTGTGGATTTAAAAGTAGGGAAAAGTATGTCTTACCATCCATATCAAAAATTAATTTGTAATGGCAGAATAAATACAAGTTACCAATGCCCAACTTTACAGGTTGATGATCCGTAAATATCTCATTGAGCCACTTCAGTTTTCAATTAATTACAGAAATAAAAATGCAGAGCACATGTACTGGAACTACACTCTGGTGAGACTATCAACTCTTCGCAGAAGAGCCATTACTTAGGAATGAAAACACTTGGTGACAAGAACTGAAGTAGCTATGAAAATTTTCAATCATATAACTCATGCTAGATTTAAGTTATTATACTGCAAACCTTTAAAATTTATTTGCTTGCCCACTAAGTCTACCCGACTTCAGGGAATGAAAAGTCATGTATAACATCACCTTTATCTGAAACTCTACCTTTAAAAGCAACATCTTTTCATAAAAAGGAAGTCAACAGATTAGAGAAGAAATGAGCTTCAGTCCAGTCAAGACCAGCTTGATAAACTGATAGCTGTATAAGCTATGTCCTCATATGTATATGTCCTCAACTCGGAAGGTGAGTTCTCCTCTTACATGCCGACTCCCACCACTTTATTTATGGCAGGACTGACAGCCCTTGCCAAGGCAGAAATCAAATACATCCTGGAAGAACAGGAAGAAGTGAAACTGCCTGTGTTTGCTGATTACATGATTTTTATAGAGAAATGTCTGAAGTATCTACAAAAAAAAAGAAAGAAAGAAAAGGAAAAAAAAAAACAAAACTTGTTACACCTGGTAATCAAATCAGATGAAGTTAAAAGACTTAAATCAACAGTCCCCAAATCAGTAACAATTCTCTTAGATATTAGCTGCTATTCAACAAGGAAATTAAGGGGGAGGGTCCCATTTATACTAGGAAAAACAAAAAAAATAGCAAAAAGATCTATATAAATTTAATGTAGGGTCTGGTGAGATGGTTTACTGGGTAAGAGCACTTGCTAAGCAGGCATAAGGCCCTGAGTTATAATTCCCAGGAACCACATAAAAAGCCAGGTATAGCCCAAAATGTGCCTGAAAGCTGGACACTGGGGAGTCAGGGTGTGGGTGCAGAAACAGATGTGTACCAGCCTAACTCCAGGTTCAGTAAGAGAATAAGAGGAATAAGAGGAGGTATACCACATGACTTCTGATGTCTTTCCTCTAAACTTTATATATGAACACATATGTGCATACACCACCAATATCACACACACACACCCACACACACACACATACACACACAAAATCAAGGAAGTAAAGGACCTGTATATTAAAAACTATAAAAAAAAATGAAATAAATAAAAGAGATAAACTAAAGAATATTCTATAATCATTGATTATATAATTGATATAATCTTTACCAAAATCCTAATATTTTTCAAATAAATGATTTTAAAAATTTTTTAATTAAAATGAATATATAAATAACTTGAATATCCAAAACAATGTTAAACAAAAGAACAAGGCTGGAGACATCACACTCAATTTTAAAATACATTATAACCTAATCATAATGAAAACAACATAGTGCAATAAAAAAATTTTAAAAACTTTTAAAGACACACTGACTATTGCCCATTGGAACAAGATAGAAAAAGATCTAAGAATAGACAAGCATATTTGATCTATTGATTTTTTTCCAGAACTGAGGACCAAACTCAGGACTTTACACTTGCTACATAAACATTCTATCACTGAGCTAAAAGTTTCAGACAAACAGAAGGACAGAGGGGGTAGGCACAGCAGGATGACTATAGGCATTAACAAGATACTACATATCTCAAAATAAAAAATAGCAAACCTCAAACATGACTTGTATGATGGATATGCTAATTAGATCAATTATGCCACATTATATGTACAGAGCCAACATACCTGTTTTACCTAATACACTTATGCAATAATAAAAAATAATACTAATGTTTTAAACACAGTAAGATAAAATAACAAACTGTAGTTTATTTAAAGAACCATTTTGTAAATGAATCACTTCTCCCTCAGTCGTTTTTGTTTAAGAAGTTCCCTTAAAATAGTACACAGAGTTACTTCTCAAGCTCATTAAAGAGTAATCACAAATGGAAAAGGCATTAATTTTACCTTTCCATTAACCCACTGTGGCCCTTGAAGACAAACATCATAACCAGTCACGCCTCTCATGACGGCAGCAACCAAACTCTCTTTCCAAATGACTTTGGGCTCTTGTGGAGAACTGTGGGGCCCAAGCCGCCCACAGCTATCAAGGTACAACAGGGAACTGGCTTCTCCCAGCCACCTCTTATGTGCACAACAAAGAAACCAACAGTATTTTATTTTTCCTGCCTGCTCCTTCTTCTTTTCCTTTTCACTCAGAGCACTGGATACTGGACGGCAAGCTTCCAGAGTCCCTTTTAGCACTACTGAGAAGGATTATGATGAAATGGAACCCAACAGGTCAATCCCCAGTTACAATATTGAAAACTCACCCTTTTGTGTCACTACTAAAAACTGGCAGCCACCTCCATCCCTGCTTGGAGCTGGCTGTCCACAGACTCTGGAGCAGATTTCAAATAGAATGATAAACCTCAGATATCTTAAATGGAAACCTCACAGTTGATAAAAAAAAAAAAAAAAAAAATCATGGCCACACCAACCTAACCACACATATGCTAAAGAACTGAGGGTAGGGTGGTAGAGCTTTTTTATTTTCTTTAATTGTTTCTTTTTCAAGTTAAAAGTGATTTCAGAACCAGACTGCAGAAAATTAAGCCTCTTCCAAAAGGGCTAAGAGCTCTAATATAATGTCACCTCAGCAAATACAGTGGATGTTCTACTTCCTAGACTCCAGACAGTGCACATTTTAAACAGGCACATTTAACTGACCCAGAAACATGTCTCCTGCCATGTAAGTACATTAGGTTCAGAATATGGTTGAGACTTTGGTGAAGGAGTAATAGGCTTTGAGTAGGGAAGGGATCATTTACTGCATTTTAATGCAAATAAAAAAGGTCACAATTGATGCGTTCACCCCATCCCAACAGAAAATTTAAAAAATCAACAACAACAAATAAAAAAAAAAAAAACAAGATAAAGGCACATGAATGGATACTTAAGCAAACCCCATGGAGTCAGTTTAGGAACATGACATTTCATTGTTGTTTTTAAATATTCATTTCTTCCTGTACATAAGCTAATCACTGGATTCATCTGGAAACCATGCCACAAGCAATGTCTGGTAAGAAGCAGCATACAGCTAAGAGAATGTTCAAGGACACAGCTAAAGGATCTATTTTTATCCAATAAAGAATAGATTTCCCCCTGGCAACTCAGCAGCACAAGATGAACAGTTCACCTTTCCTCTGTAACCCCTCACATCCAAGCTCCAACTGGCTGATAGCTGTAGAAGAGAAAATAAATAAGGGGAGAAGGGGGAAGAAATACATGATCTTTATTCCTGACAAATGTTAGGTCTCCGACCTATCTGCCCCTTAGCCAAATTTCCCTCTTCCTAATACTCCAGGAGATCCCCTCTGCATTCATAACGGTCTACTGAGCTGCTAAGACAAAGCAGTTCCCCAGCGCGTACTGACCCACCATTCATGCCGCTGTAGACATTCCGGTGATGGGGTGATGAGTCCTCTTGAGCAGGCCGCCGGAGGGTGCCCTCCCTGCTGCCCCCGCTGCTGCCTCCACCGCCACCTGCATGTTTGTGATCAGGGCTGCCCCCGTAATGTTGTTTGAGATGCTCTGGGCTTGTTCCCCTGGCTCTGGGGAGGTGCTCCAGGCTTCCACCAAGGGCATGTTTCTGAAGATGTTCAGGGCTCCCTCCGCTGTGCCTGGCATGTTCCGGGCTGCCTCCAGGCCTGTGCTTCTGGAAATGTTCAGGGCTCCCACTCAACACGTGCTTGGGCAGCATTTCTGGGCTGCTCCCTGGGTGTGGGTGCCTCTGCTGCTCCGGGCTGCCCTTGCACAAGGGCTTGTGGTGCTCAGGGCTGGGTCCTTTCAGTGCTTTGGGGTGATCTGGGGTCCCGGAAGCCCTGGGTTTGTGTAGATGTTCAGGGCTAGTGCTCCTGTGTTTGGTGTGCTCTGGACTGCCCTCACTCCGGGGCTTCTGTAAATGTTCAGGGCTGCCCCCGCTGGCATGGTGTTTGTGGTGGTCGGGGCTGTCAGTGCTTCCAGTGCTGGAGGTGCTGCTGCCATCACCCACATCCCGCACATAAGGGGCAGCGGAGGCCACCAGCTGGCACAGGCTGGCCTGGCTGTCAATGGAGCAGCGGCTGCCGGCACATCCTGCACCCTTCTCCTCATCTAGCAGCACGCAGAGTTCCTTAAGCTCCATATTCTCCTTCACCACCTCCTCCTGCTTCACCTCCAATTCCTTCAGCTTCTGCAAGTATAAGGCCACTTCCTTGTGCATCACTCCAGCTGTGTAGCGACCCAATCTCTGCCACTCCCGGGACACCCTTTTGCCTTTCTGCCGGTCATCGTCCAGGAAACAGCATAGGTCCCTCAGTTCCTGGTTGTCTTCCTGGAGTTTCTGGTTAATATCCTGAAAAGAGAGATGGAAGTTCAAGGGAGACAGACAGAAGAGGTGACATTTCATCTAGACCCTCAATATGGAAAGCCCCAGAAGCGAATAATCCTTACAGTAGTTTTCACATGTGGCTTACGAACCCTTTGGCAAATCTCTATCTCCAAAATATTCACATTCCGATTCATAACAGCAGCAAAATTATAGTTATGAAGTAGCAAAGAAAATGACTTTATGGCGGGAGTCACCACAACATGAGGAATGATATTAAAGAATCTCAGCATTAGGGAGGCTGAGAACCACTACGCCAGGTGAGAGACCACAGAAAGTTGAAAACTGAAGATAACCATAACGTTAAACTATAGGTACTGGTTATGTTCCATACAAAATACTCTACCAGTTATTTTATTCAGTTTCCCATCCCAGTGCTTAGGAGATAATAATTAAGAATTTTTCACAGAAGAGCCTGGGCTTCAAGGAGCCTTGCTCAGCCAGCAATTAGGAAGCAGCACGTTGATAAACAGGAAATTCGTCTGGAGACAAGGTTTCTCTGTCCTACACTCCAGAAACAAAGATGGTGCCATGGTGGCTCACATGGGCAATCTCAGGAACCCTAAAGGCTGAGGCAGGAGCCTTTCTAGGACTTTAAGGCTAATTTAGGCAACCCTGGTGAGTTTAACACCAGTGAAAGAAAAAGAGAGAAGTAAAGAGAAGAAAGGAGAAGAGAAGAGATTAAAAAAAGAAAAGACAGTTACTAGTGGCTTGAAAATACTGAGATGTTCTAAGGAAACACTTTGAAAAAGCTGATGTGACGTTTTCAAATACAACAGAGCAGGAGCCACCCATTTCCTCAGCCCCTAGGGAAAAGTACAGATGCCCCATTAGGGGCATTTTATCCACCCTCATTGGTCATAACCACTGGAAATTCACCCAGGCACCTCACCTCTAACATAAGCCAAAGCTGCTGCTATTCTAATACTGCTCTCCCGAAGTGCATCTCTCGGCAAATGTCACCTCCACCTATTGCTCTTTATAAGAATACCGGGTCATTCGGTATCTCCTCCCTCACCTTCCATCTCTGAGCCAAACAAATCTTTGGAACATGGACCACCAAATGCTCAATTTTTTTCCTCCTGCCATGAAACTTTAGTAGCTTCCCATTCCCCTTAGGATACAGCACGAAATTCCTCAAGTGCCACACAGCCTCAAATGTTCTGTCTCTGTCTACTCCTGTAGCATGAATAGCGATTCGTTTGTTCACTCACAAAGAGTTAGTAACCATAGACTATGTGCTAGGTACTAGTGAAAATGTTTGAAACTTTCATGAACATTGACAAGACCCTAGGATCTACCATTCTACAGCTTTCACTAGAGTCAGGGAGTATCATAAAGCAAGTTCAGACAGTAGTAACATGTATGGAAAATGCTAGGTGAAAACCTGCCTCTTCTTCCTACCTTCAGCCACTGCCTTGTCTTCTGTCTTCCCTCACCAACCTCAGTCAACACTCCTTGACAGAATGGTCTTCAAAAACACTTTCTGCATATTGAGCCTGTCCTGAAATACTTCAGGTACCTCCCATTGCCAGGGAAAATTAATAAATCCCTTTTCTATTTGATTATGTATTTCAAGTAGAAAATATCTCCTTACTGGTATGAAGTTACATAATATGAGAGATTTTTCTGAGAAGTGTTCCCCAGAGCCATAATACTATCCTGATGAAATGACTCTCCTATCCAACACAGAAGCCTTTGCCATACCTGAGCATTCACTAGACATCACCTTCATCCCATGTAGAGCCCTGACAATGTAAGAAGCAGACGTCTGATGTCTCTGTATATGTAACATATCATGCTATGCTGCGTACAGTGGACACAATATATAATTATGGGCATCTCAATTCTTTAAAGCTCTAAGCCTACTGCCCAAACAAGCTACAGCTGTAGCTGCTGAAAAAAGAACCTCATGTTCTTTTTAGATAGCCCTTGTTATATTGAAATGTACAGTAGGAGAGTTAGCCCTTGATGCTTTAAAGAAAATTAGAAGCTTTGGGTATTCAGAAAAAAACATGATTCCAAACAAAATCAATCTTAATAAGATTCAATAATTATTCAACATTTAGCTCTATCCAGGCATTTGAGATCAACTTCAAATTGTGTTGCTCTTCATTTGAATGAATTTCCACCTGAAAACACTTGAATTTCTCTGTGCTGTGGCTGTTTGTGTCTGATCTAGAACTGTAATGCACAGAAGTGCTGTCGGTTTTCCTTAAGAAGTGAAATGGACGCTTTTCCAAGACCCCAAAGCAGGTGGTCTAGCCAACGTGGGCCCATTCCCATCTTCCATGGCTCCTTCTTCCGACTATTAATGTTTTGGGAATATTATTTGTCTTCAGTGTTGGTCTAATTTTTTCAACCTCTGATGAAGCAACCAGATTGAACTACTAATCTTGTGAACTAGCTTCTGATACATTAAGATGTAGGCTTCCAAAAAAAAAAAAAAAGCTAGCTGTCCCTTTAACATCTCTATAAGCCACAAGACATTACCCTAAGTGCCTAAAGTACATTTTAAAAGTTAAATCCACTCAAGATTCCAACTCACTAAGAGCTGTATCTCCAGTACAAGAATTGTTTTCGTGTAGCTCTCATCTTTTCTGCAGATACTGGTAGTTAAGGAATACAGTGATTCAAATGATAATGCCTCCCCACATTACCACCGCTAACAGGCTCAGCTGTCTGAACAAGTCTCCAAAGTCTCCCATTGGTGTTGCTACTCTATCTGGAAGACATTTAGGAGGTGTGGCCTTGCTGGAAGAAGTGTGTCACTGGAGATGGGCTCTGAGAGTCAAAGGGCCTCTCTCGCCACTTCCTGTTATCTCCATTACCTGCTTTGTGATTGCAGTTGGGGATCTGAGCTCTCAGTTTCCTGCTTTGTCACGGTCACGGTGTTTTATCAAACTAATATATACAAGGAGTGTGGTGAAATTAACATAATGCAAGCAACAAATCTGTAGCTACTCAGTTCCTTCGAAGCAATCCCCACCAGGATTCCAGGCTCAGCAGTATGCAGAGATGTTCTTAGATCCTTACAGTACTCGAACCAACATCTCCTCCCTTCAAGACTCTGTGTCCACACACTAGACAAAGAATATCTGATAATCATTTTCTGGACATTTCACATCTGTGTGACCTTGAGAAACATTCTTAACTCGTTGGTCTCATTGTGTCTGTGTCACGTTTAACCTTCATAAAAGCTCATGTAGTATTATAATGTGCCACTGAAGAGACCAAAAGACTGAGGATGGTGGGCCAATCATTCCCCTAAGCTGACCAAACTGTACACTGGCACTGCCACCTAGTTAGATATGATTTAAATGTCACGTCACAGAAAGTCGTTGTGGTTCCAATTTTCCAACGTTTATAGTCTTCAAGAGTGCCAGGCCCTTAGAGGCCCCCAACATGGAATCACTTTCTTCCAGTTAAAACAAAAATAAGAAAGTATTCCTATCCTCATTTGGTCAGGCACATTCATGGCTCACTATGGAATCCAAGAAAACTCCCATCCAAACTGGTAAGTGGGAGGGAGAACAGTGGCCTCAGAAGTGTACTCAAAGCACAGCACACTTAGGATGGACAAGAAGCCTGGGCTCTACCACAGCTACAACAAAAAGGGGCAGTCTCTGCAACAGAAAATGACCTGTAAGGCATGAGTGACTATTCTGGTAACAAAGCCAAGGGCCCTAATACCTCAGTCCCACAGGAGTGACAAAGCCTTCCTCATGTGAGACTCAGAAGGATGGCAAAGATGACAGTGTGTCACCACTTTCCCCCTTCACCAGATGCTCACAGCCTACATAGACAGTCCATAGGAGATGAGCTAAACGTTCCTTTTTGTTCAGATACATATAACAACCTCACCTCCTTGTTCACCTATATGCAACAATCCTGCCCGCCTGATCAACCATATATAACAAGCACACTGAGCTTGAGGAGTGCTGTGGCTCTACTCCATCTGAGTGAGCACATCTCACATGATCCCAGCTTTTCTGTGTGTCTGTGTGCTGCCATTTCCTCATGCCCCTCCCTAGTCAGGGTTCTGGAATCCAAGCCATGCATGAACAACATAGCGACCACTTCTATCGACTCTGAACTTGAAAAAGAGGTAGCCCACTAAGCCCTGTGTTATTGGCTCATGAATCCAGACCTCTGAACTGTCTGCTTGAAGAAAAATTGCTCTTAACTGATAGTTATTTTTCGAAATGAGGCTGCTGGAGGGGTGACCAGATAATGTTCTACTCATGCTGTTCCTCCCTGACCTCTCCTAGACTTGCATATAGTCAACATACAGAGCCTAAAAGAAGTTCCAAGGACTTCTTGAGTTATTAATATTAGTTCTTCATCTGAGTGAAATTTTTAGAAGTTAATTAAAAACTCTCCCAAGCCACACTGTGTTTCAAGCCATGGAGAACACTGAGCTATCACATTACAAGCAAGTCCTACTGACCAGCTTTGCCAAGAAACCCAGCTCCTGGAGGCACGTGGGTCTACTTCATACTTTCTCTTGATGACAGTAACTACCACAGTTTCCAGCATCAAACCTCTCTACATTATTGTAGTTTATTCTTACAGCACCTTAGGAAATAGACCTGACTGTTCACATTTTATTAATCAATAAAACAAGGACCTGAGAAATTAATTACAAGCTTGCCACCCTGATAAATGAGGATTCTTCAAACTTACTTCCAAGACCATATTCCTTCTATTCTACCCTTCCTCTCATTTCCCCAAGGAGTCTGATACTTAACAAATACTCATTCTTAATAAATTAAAACGAGAAAGATTTTGACTGTGAGAATAGTCATATCTGCAGCCACTGTAGGCAGTGTGTGACATTAGGTTTGGACCTGAGGAAACCATCTCCCACACACAGGTGAGTCTGGAGCCTCTGTTCCTTCACATTCCTCGGCATCCCAGAATCCCAGAGCTGGAGAGCTGGAGCAATTAAGGAATGGTGCCTATTCTCTGAGACAGAAACATTTTGTGCCTGGAGGGAATTTGGTCCCTGAGGTTCCTATGTTGATTTCGTTTGTGTCTGGCTTCCTATAAACAAAAGCAGAACAATGAGAGGAAGGAATACCAGAAGGCTCCAGGCTAGCTGTGAGCAGAAGTTTGCAGTGCTCAGCAGCAGGGCGGTTCCCGATGGGTCTGCTGCAACCTGACTGACACATTGGAGCTCTCCAAACAAAGTTCCTGGTTTTGGGAATAGACCTGGCTCAAAACCAAAGCATCACTAAGAGCACTTACCCGGCGCCTTCTACACTTGCCCCCTCTCCATGATTAATAAAATTAATGTGATACCCAGAGTGAAGAAAGAACGCAGGGAAGTAAAGCAGTTTCAGGTGACACCAACCCTAGTAAGGGAAGAAAATCACGGGGGGCTAGGAAAAGACTTGAAGGCAGAAGTCACGCTCACCTGCACCCAGCACCAAGTCACACTCACACTGGCTCCTCGAGTAGTACCCGAGGCTTCTCTCCTATCCCCAGCAGTGGTGTCCTTTCTTTGCCCTCTGCTCACCAGAAAGCTAGTGGTGGCGCAGAAGAAGCTACACCCGACCCCTAAAGGTGAAGATGTACTGAGCTAGCAAACTCGTTAGTCTTCTCCTGTGGGGTACTGTAACCTAATTCCCTGAGCATCTTGGTTCCTTGAGACATTAAAGGTCCCCTGTGCTCACCATGCCCCTCTCTGACTTCTGGCATCCTTGGTTCCTGTTCCTTTAGTCTCAGAAAAATCAGAGAAAGCCAGATGCCAAGTCCTCGTAAGAAGAGAAGAAAGGGCCTCCAAAGTTTGGAAAACTTTAAGGGCTGGAGATGGGGACAAGGGGTGCTCCAGGGAGAAGGGAGAAGCTCACCTGTTGACGGAGGGACAAGAAAGTTTTGCTCTCCCACCCTACTCGCACCGCGACTCCCAGATCCCTGCCACGCCCAGCCCAGCCTTCTTGCCAGGCCCAGTACTCACCTTGAGCCCTCGGATCTCGCCGAGATGCAGCTGCAGGCGGCGGTTGACCTCGCGAATGAGGTTGCTGTGGTCCAGCATCGCGCTCACCTTCTCGGCTTCGGCGCGCCGCAGGCTGCGGATGAGCTCCTCCTTGCTCCACTGCAGCAGCTCTTCGTCCGTCACTTTAGATAGATCCTCCACGCCCGCGGGTGTCGACGCGCCGGCCGGAGTCGAGGGACAACTTTCCGCCGCCGGCGCCGCGCCTCCAGCCGCCTTCGACATGGTATCCGCGCAGCTTTAGGTGCGAGTGGGTGGAAGAGGCGAAACGACTGGCGAAGGTGCGGGCGCGGCTGGGCGGCCTCCGCCCACACCCCTGTGCGCTTCGAGAGTCAGCGGCACCTCCCGCGGACCGCTGCGTGGGGACGGCGGGGATCGCGCTGCGCGGCCATCCTACCTCGCCAGCCAAGCGCGCGTACCTGCGGAATCCCGGGGCCCGACAGCCAGCTCCCGGTAGCTGCAGTGGTCCATCCCAACTCCGCGCAAGTCCATGGTGAAGGGCGCCGGGGAGCAGGAGCGGGCGGGGACACCCAGAGAGCTCTGCCTCAATCCCCTGCCCTCTCCTTCGCTCAGATCGAGACAGCCACCCCTCGCGGTCACACTCACGCACACGCCCTTCCCTCCCCCTTTCTCAACCCCAAGGCTCCGCTGCTCCCCTAGCTGCCCAGGGCTTGCTGAGCGTTTGGGCTCCCAGGGAGGCTGGAGCGCGCCGAGTGGCTGTCCTTCCCGGAAAGCTCCGCGACGCCGGCTGGCTGTAGTCCTGCCGCTGATCCTAAACTGTTCTGGGAATCCTTGGGTTTTCAGAGCCCAGAGGAGGATGGGCGGGGGTTGGGGAGCGGCAGCGGAGAGGAAGCTGGCGCCCCGGACGCCCGCATCCCGCAATGCCTCCGGCAAGGGCCAAGCGCAAACGACACTCAGCTGCCCAACGGGACCCTGAGCTCTTGGTTCTCTGCTGCTAGGGATGGCTGGGGGCGCGGTTCCCAGAGCGCAGGGGTGCGGGTGGGGCTGGAGTCAAGAGCAAGTACCGCCAGGGCCTTGCGAGGCTCACGCGCGCCACCAAGTGACTAAAGGCGGTCCCCTCCCCTCCATCTCGGCAAGTCAGACTAGTTACCAGGCAGGAGAAGCAGCCTGCTGACCAAAATGAGAGACATTCATTACTTGGAAGAATTGGATGCAGACATTTCGAGAGCAAGACCTACGAATAGCTAGCTAGATACACTTCAGAGAACTGAAGCAAGAAAGCTTGTGCCGGAGGTCACAAAATCCTCAAGCTCAGGAAAACAGGGCAAAGAGCTGTTGAACTCAGCTCTTTGGGGACATCCGCCCCATTCCCAGGCCTTTGTTTTCTCTAAAAATTCACCACCTTACGAAGAAGCTTCAGGAGGAAGTGCTGGGCCTTTTAAACATTCATTTGAGAAGCATCAAGGCTTTTAGAAAATAAAATAACTTCTGCTTCTCCCTAGGTCTGGATTTCCAGGTCTGCACGACCGGTGCCCTTGGAAAAGCAGTCTGAAATACCAACCAATACAAACTGAGCTTTTCACTCCTCTGTGCTGAAAACTGGGCTGGCCTTTGATGATCTTATCTGGAAGAAGACAATTTGGGATCTATGTTTGGGTTAGTCTCTGCTTAAGTATAGTGCAATCCTCTTTCAGCTGAAAATACACTTAGTTTTCTAAAGGATAGGTGCAGAAAGCCCTGACAAAATCATTTTTAGGAAGCCTAAAGGACCAGAAAATTAAGAATCACATCATCCCAGCCTGAGCGTCTGTCTCAATGAGGATCTCAGTCACAGTCCCTCTAACGAGGCAGTGTGTATTCTTCTTTAAAGCTGTCACCTAGTTTAAAAAAAATAATAATAATGAGTTCTGGACTGAGACCTTTGCTTTCTAGAGATCAAAGGAAAGTAGTACTGCTAGCCCCTGACCAAGTACAATCCCCAACTACACACACACATAACTGCACTCATAGAGACTTCTCTGTGTCTGTGTTTCTCTATGACTTCTCTTACCACAACATGCACTTCCTCTGACCTATTCTCTGACATACTGGGATCTAACTCTCCTCCCCACTAACCTTTGGTCATATTTGCAACCCAAAAATGTCTTTCTTGGTGCACTGAGGAACTGTAATCATAGGAGAAAGTGCCTCCTCTCTCAAGCCTCAGCAAAGGGAGGAGCATGTTAAAGGTTTCTTTCAACACCTTCAGAGACCAAGACCCAGCTAGTTTTCCAGTGCTTTCCACTGCTCACCTCAGTGCACAACCCTCCCAGCCTTTCACTTCAGATAACTAACTGTCTCTCCCCTGTTTTGATGGTCTTGACAATGTCTGATGCAATTTACTTGATATATCCTTGTCTCTTAGATGCACAGAAGGTTTTCAAGACAATGCCTCAGATCACTTTGGAAATGGGAAGAGAAGATGTACGATGGAAAAAAATCACTGGTTCTCAGACCCCATGGAGGTGGCATGCCTTTAAGTGCCTCATCAGGACTCTACACAGTCCAGCCCACTGATAACAGTGCCCAGGGCAGCTTTTAACTGAACCTTGGAACCACCAGATGACAGGAATCTACTGCCTTGCTCAGCTTATTTCTTTTTTCCTTTCTATCTCTTTTTGTCATGCATTCATCCTTCGCAGTCCCCTTGGCAACATCTACCTTCAGCAGATTCCCCCATCTAATACTGCCCTAATCTTAGTCTTCCCAGACTCCAAACCGTGGGAAATAACTGTCTAGTGTCTGTAAGTCACCCAATAATAGGCCAACTAAGAAAGCGAGTCTTCATCTCTGTGAACCCCTTAACTCCTAGTTCAGAGTAAGCACTGAATAGAAGTAGGAGGAAAGAAAGGCAATTGATGATGACAAAACTGTCAGGGACCTTTCCTTGTCCACGTTCTTTTAGTCTGTTTGTTCGGATTGTCTTACAACCCATAACATATACACAAGCCCTTAATTTTGAAAATATTAATTACTACTTAGTATTGTACTGTTGGGGAAGTTACAGAAGTTGTACACAGTTGGAACTTGTTCAAATTGTTTAAAATGAGGATAAAATGTGCCTATAATGACTTAGCCTCAAATTTCTGCAAAATACATTTAGTTGACAGTTTTACTGTTGTTGTTGCTGTTTTGCTTTGTTTCATTTTGTTATTTCCTGATGATGTCAGACAATAGCAATCGGCATGGTAAAGCAGGGCTGACCTCACTTTATCTGTTTTGAACCCAGTAACACAGGCAGCCATAGACACATTCTGCCATATTTCAACAAGAGCCCAGGAGATATGCAAAACTCAGCACAAATGCATTACAGTTCACCTTTGATGCCTAATTTCTGAGTCCAGGATTATACCTTCCATGCCCATAGAGTTTGCTTGCTAAAACGATGAGCCAAATTATATCCATCTTCCCATAAGCTAAACAGGCCATCTCACTGTTAGTCTCAACCAGTTTGGGAAGAGAGCCAGTTTTACAGGGGACAAGGAGGAGGTGGTGGGACACTGACATAGAGGCTGAAGCCTTGCAGTCTCCTCCAATCTCTGTAATAGCCACTGGAAGCTGGAAGACAAGGAAACAGATACTGCCTAGGGTTTCAGGGGGACACAGCCTTCTATTAAACTGTTTTTAACTCTTTAAGATTCACTTCAGGATTCTGGCTTTCTATGTTTTAAGGCAGTAGGTTTGTAGCTTCACTAAGAAACTAATAAATCACCACTTAAAACAAAGCATGGCTGTGCTTTAGCTACCCTGTAGCTAGTAGATACCTACCATCTCATCCAGCCCTCTTCCTTTTTAGAGGGTAAGGATCTCATTCCTTTACTACATCTGGCAAGTAAAGCATTTGTTGCAGAAGCGCAGTAGAGGTTGTTCAAATGTGCCTGAAGCACCCTGGGGTGCCTGTGCTCTGATGTGCAAAAGAGAAAAGCACAAAAGGAAGCTGGCTTCCTGAAGTGATCTCCATATGGGAAACAACAGATCACACACAACACCACAGCCACTGTCTTGCCTACAGGCCCCATCACTTGCAATATTTCTGGAAATCCATAACCTAGGGAACAGAGAAAAGAGACTGTTAAATGCAGGTTTTACCTATCAGGCCTGACTGCAAGGCAAAGTCTGCACTGCAGAACTGGCCAGGTACTGATTCTGCTCACACAACCCTAAGCCATAGCATCTGAAAGAATCCAGTCCGGTTGTTCATGCCTCTGAAATGGAGATGGTGAGAAGCCTTACAAGTGAAAGCACCACTCTTCATCAAACATTTGCATTGAGGTTTATTTTATGTACAGAAGTCAACTGCTCAGAGAATTCACACTGGATCAGGCAGGCTAGGAAGGAAATCGACTTTCCTTTGCTCCAACAATCCAGGCTCTAACAGCTGCACTATCAGCCAAATGTTTAGGTCAAATTCCCCTCAAATAATTAGATGTTATAAATAGCAATCTAAAAATGGAGTCCTACTCAGTACCTTTCAAAACAGACAACCACTCTTTACCCCCGCCAGGACTCCACAGTCACAGTGGACAAGGGCTTTCTCACAGTCCTTAGTGATCACCTACAGGACATATGCTACTAGTTCATTCTGCAGAGAAGTTGGAGGCTCAGACTGAATTCTTGCAGATGGTATCAGAGTGATTTCTAAAGCTCATATTCACTAGAGAAGGTAAGAGAAGCTTGAGAGCCTCCAAGGGGGCAGCATGGGGGTCCTCTGTGGTAGATTCAATGAGACAGAGTTTGGACATTAGCAAAAGAGCAAATAAAAAAAATGAAAATAAGCTTTGCAATTTTATGAGGTCTCATTTGTCGATTCTTGATCTTAAAGTATAAGCCATTGATGTCCTGTTCAGGAAATTTTTCCCTGTGCCCATGTGTTTGAGGCTTTTCCCCACCTTCCCTTCTATTAGTTCTAGTGTATCTGGTTTTATATGGAGGTCCTTGATCCACTTGAAGTTGAGCTTTGTACAAGGAGATAAGAATGGATCAATTTTGCTGATGTGGAAGACAGGAAGTGCATGCTGATAAGAGCCTGATATGGATATCTCCTCAGAGGCCTTCAAGAGTCAGACATATTCAGAGGCAGATGCTCACAACTAGCCATTGAACTGATCATGGGGTTCTCAATAGAGGAGTTAGAGTGAAGACTGAAGGAGCTGAAAGGGTTTGTGGCACCATGAGGAGAGCAACAATACCAACCAACCACAGCTCCCAGGGTCTAAACCACCAGCCTGGGAGCACTTAGGGGGGGATCCAGGGCTTCAGCTGAATATGTAAAAGTGGAGGGCCCTGCTGGGCATAGGTGGAAGAAGAGAACTTTGACCTCATGAAGGCTGGATGCCCCAGGGGGTGGGAATTTTGAGGGTGGGGAGGTGGGAGTGGGGGGGTAGATAGAGGTTACATCCACAGAGAAGAAGGAGGAGGGGCGAGGGGATTGGGGGTTTTGAGGGGGTGGTGGGGGATGGGGTAAGGGGACAACATAGGAAATGTAAATAAATCATCCAATAAAAAAAAAAAGAAAAAAAACATAAAAAAAAAAGAATGGATCAATTTGCATTATTCTACATGCTGACCACCAGTTGAACCAGCACCAGTTGTTGAGAATGCTGTCTTTTTTCCACTGGATGGTTTAAGCTCCTTTGTCAAAGATCAAGTGAGCATAGGTGTG